CAAGTACGAGAGAAATAAATTGAAATCGCGCAACAGGGACGTAACCCGGCGGCAGAGGAGGGGGTCGTAATTCGTATAATTAAGTTCATGTGCTCCATAGTGCCATATATCACACGCTGACCTGCATTTGATGAGGAAAATCGGACCTACCATTCCGTCAGGATTCATGCACTAACGGTGCTGAGTTATCTCGAGGACGCATAGTCAGCTCCTATATGATTAGCGGCGGAGGCATGTGTTTTCTATTTGTATTTCCCTTTAAATGATTCGGAAGAGATGTCGACATGCATGTCTCCACCTGCGAATGGATGGATATACATGGACGCAGCAACTCGTCGGAGGTTGCGGTGAACTAGAAGCAAAAAACTAATTTCCTAAGAGATAGACACGAGGTGTGAAAAGCAACGATCGCGAGTTTCGTCCATGTCTGTAAGTCGCTTATACAGTAATAAACCAACAAATCATGATGACTATAATATGGTTGTTAAAGAAGGTTCATAAGCTAGCATATAGATTGGGTCAAGACATGAAATAGTACATATGGAGAAAATTTTAGCAAGACAGGAATGACGACCAACACACAGTTAGAGACTAGCTAGTATCTTTTTCAACAGTTACAACGGTAAAGAATATAATAATTAATGTATCAGATAATTTTTATTACTTTTTTTTCCTTTTCATATTCCCATGGAGTAATATTTTTTTATAAACGCTAAGATATGATAATGTTAAGCCATTGGTAAACTTAACATCGATATTTCTCTTTCCGTTCCCCTCTCTTTTGTGTCAGCAAATTGACAACCCTAAGACGAACCTGCTATTAATTGCTATTATACGTGCCTTAATTGAGGAAACATGTCATCTCTCTTTTAGAAACATGTCATCTCGATTTCAAAAGGAAAAGTTCACATGTAGCTTTCATTAAAAAAAACAATAAGTTCATTTACAACAACGTCTATTGATATAGAAATGTATTCCATCTTTTTTTTTCTTAAATTCGTTTATATAGAGTCAAATTGTGGAACATATTAGCAGAAACTACAAGTTTGGTGTGGTGGGAATCCAATTGTGGTTGCATAAGCCTGGAGTGTCGATTGCCATTACAACTTTTCATGCATTTATTTATAACTTTATTATAGTTTTATCTAGCTTTTATTTGTAAACTCCTTGAGGCCCTAGTGGCGGCAGATTTTTTGTAGTTTATACAAATTGACGTGAATATAGTTTTCTAATATTATGGAGCGATCCAGTATTTGGTTAAAACAAGTGAATACTTAATGTTCGAATAAGAAAACACATGATGCTAACATATTTGATAAAACTATATTTTTTATGACATATTATGATATATTTTCTTTTATCCATCGCAAAACATGGCAATTTGCTTATTATTAGGAGAAGCATAAAAGGAACCAGTGTTTGCTCTAGGACTAGAAAAATTCCCATGTTAAACCAAGGAAAAGAGAAATAGATGTATTTTTTAATTGGGTATTGATTTAAAACAATGTAGTTTGATTAATATAGTGTGTACGAAACATATTTATGTTTATAGAAAATTAGAAACTAGAGTTTATATAACCTATAATTATATTTTTTAAAAAGTAAACTTCAATCCAGCATTGTGTAGATAATTTGGAGAAATTAGTGTTCTTTAAAGACCATAATGATGGCCAAACATGTACATACTAGATTATGCCCCCGCGCATTGCGAACATTTTCACTAAAAAAATAAGAATCATTAGTGAAGGTGTAAAATAGGGAGGTTGAATAGAACGATGACAATTGTTTCTTTTATTACTATGATCATTGTTCTCTTTGAGAATGGCTAGTTTGAAAATTTCAAAGAAAATAATGCATACTCCCTCCGGCCCAAAAAAAACGAATCTAATACTGGATGTGACATATTCTAGCACAATGAATCTGGATAAAGGTATGTTTAGATTCGTAAGACTAGGATATGTCACATCTAGTACTAGATTAATTTTTTATGGGATGAAAGGAGTATGTCACAAAGTGTTTGGCTTTTACATGTGTATGTAGCTAGACATAAACATTTATGTGCGGGAAAATTAAAAAAAATCCAATGTGCAGAAGTTTTCTCAGTTTAACTTAAAAGTTACATGAATATAGAACGACTTCAAATAATCAAAATTTGAACATACTTTCACATAAGCATATCCCTAACCGAAAAGTCATTGATATAATTAACCTTGCAAATATCAGGTATAGTGGATATGTACAATGAGTTGCTGTCAAGTGTTGTTCATGAAAGCAAATATATGCTATAGATAATCGGCAAAACTAAAGTACTCTAGGAAATGAACGATGACTACCATGTAATTAGCATCGATTAAGAAGGGATGATGGCATACATCAGCTCTCGAGAAGGAGGATGCCGTTGTGTGTGAGGATTATCCTAATTGTAGGATAGTTATGAGAGAATTAATGGGATTAGGGCCAATTTGGCGAAAAAGAGCTTTGATGGTAGTTTTTAGGCCATCCTCAGCCCTCCATATCATCTGGTATCTATAGCATTAAATAAATTGTCACATGAGCAAAAATCTAACGTGGCAAGAGAGTTAATGAGGAGAGATGTAAAATGATGAATAAATTATTTCTCATGGAAGAAATCATCTCTACACAAGAACCAAGAATGAAAACAATGGCATATGTGGATAAAAGAAGAGAGGATAGATGATTGGATGAGAATTTAATTTGAAGACACTGTCCATTGATATATAGTTTTTATACATAGTCTCTATATGACATGGCAACTATAGAAACTAGTTGATAGTTTCTAAGTTAGGGATGTTCTTATTACTTACCGTTTCAAACAGATGCAAACATGCAGTGACATAGGACAAGAGGAAAAGGGGATCTAACATTTTTTATTGGATTTTGATAGTGATCTAATGGCTGAAATAAATAAGATGATATGGCTAGCTAGAATAACAGCTAATGGAGATAATTATATAGGAATAGTATATATGATCAAAGGGCACAATCTCTTGAAAATTTCTATGAGTCTCTCTCTCATCCGCTTCATGTGATTTTTTTCTTCGGTCAACTCAAACAATCATTCTTGTACTTTTTGCATGTTTTGTAATTATTTGTTTGACACTTATATTCATGTCAAAATCCTACTTTATTTTAATTCCTCCTTTTTTTCAATCTCGTATTTCAAAAGAACCCTCATTTGTAAGGGAAAAAACATAGGAAATTTGAATGATTTCAATCATATAGGAAAAATTCTACAAAACCCTTTAAAACAAATGATTGAATCATATCATTTCCTTTAAAAATCCTATGGAATGGATAATTCTATAGATATTTTATAGGAAAGTAAGCAAGAGTTTTAATCTCTTGGAAAATTTGTTTTGAATCTTTTTTTTAGAAGAATATTTTTTTACCCGGCCTCTATATCCATTTGGATATATGTAGCTTTTTTTAATAGGAACTTAGCCTTTAATAGGTACATGCCCTTTCAAACGGTTTGCCATGCGACCTATACTATCGGTCACAGTTTAAAGGGGGCCTAATTAAAATGCGATCTCAGCCCAATGGGACGTGTGCATCATGCATGTATTGCGATCACTGATGAGCCGTGAGCTGATCGCGTAGGAAAGTAAACGCGATTTCTACTTCGGTGGAGACACCTCTCGAGCTCGCCCAAGAACCAGGGAACATAACTTGTTTAAATTGGAATGATCCAATCCAAGCGACCGGGAACAATCATTGACTCTCAAAGGATCAAGCATTCAAGCGTGTATACAGTCCCATTGGTCGATTGAGCAAGCCAGGCTGCCACTCCACCTCAGATTCTTCGATCGGTGGAGGTAAACAACGGTTTTGACTCCAAATGAGTACGATTCCCTTCCACGTCAGCAGCAGGTGTGATTGGGCGGGGAGCACATACAACAGACACATAACCATGTTATCCGTTGGCACAACAGGTGCTCATCTAGTCATCGGTCGGTCTCCGATCTATGCAGCGCATTGTGCAGCTCGGGCATTCGATCCGAACTCCAACATCTTTGTGAAGATGAGCTGTACTTTATCCAAACGTTCGGTATTACGAGTACTAGTTTATAGTACTCCGTACTAGCAGTGCATATATAAGCAGGCCTGACAGCTTGACGATGCCTTTTGGTGCCTCCAAACAGTGCCATCTTCTAGGAACTCCAAGGAGTGGCAGGTTTCCAAAAAAAAAAAAAGGAGTGGCCGAGTTGGGGCTGAGCGAGCGAGAGCGGAGGAGCGGGTCGTTTTTTAACGCGCGGTGCGGCGATGCCGGTGCCAAACGCCATCCGTCGCGCGCACGCGCGTGGGTGCTGAGCTGAGCCAGAACACAGGGATCCAGGCCTGTGCGCGAGCCGCGCGCACGGGAAGCTCGCTCAAGCCCAACCACGCCTCAACGTGGGGCTCGCTTGCCCGCGATGCCGGCCGGAGCAGGGCTCTTCGAGACATGGGTTTTGCATTTTGTAGTTTATAGGATGGACTATTTCACGCTTATCCTACAGCTCTTTGAGACATGGGTTTGCATTTTGTAATTTATAGGATGGACTATTCCACGCTTATCCTACAGAATTTTCTCAATACACAAGCATGCGGGTCCTAACCCCAAAAGCAAAGAAAACCAGAGCTAATCATGGTCTAGAATTCTAATCGATAGCAATTAGGTGTGCTTTACAAGTCAGCCGGCCCTTTGTTACAAGAACGTGCGATAGTCCGATTTCCATAGCACAGTTGTATCCGAAAAGGTACCGGCTACCAGAAGTTAAAGCCGCGAGTGTCAACTTGACGGCCCGACGGCTACGAGGCTAAAAAATGGCGGGTCCCGACGGTTTGTCCAAAGCCACGCGCCACGCGACTTTAGAGCTGAGACCCGGTGCTACCACTGGTTGGCCCGTGCCGCTGACCGAGTCGTCACGCGGCCGGCCTCCCTGGACCAGACACCGACCCGGAGCAAGAGAAAGCGAAGCCGTGAACAGTTTGCTCCTCCATTGTGAAAAGAGTCAAAATTAATCTTTTTCCTTGGTATCTCATATTCTCCAACTCTATGCTACTAATAAACAATCAGCATAATCTTTACATTGCTAATTAGCATCCGAGAACAAAATTGTCGCTCTGTCAGCATCTGATTCCTCCCCCGCCGAAATTTGGAAAGAGGGAGGAAATAAAAATGGTAAAAAAGAAAAAGAAAAAAAGAGAGGCTAGATTACTACAATACGCATGCGGCTCGCGCTGTTGCTGTCAGCAGTTCAACACCGATCAGTGTGATCGCTCGATCGCTCCACGTCCGTATCGACGGGTAAGCGCGACTTCTCGTCCGCGGCAACTCTGTCGTCACTCTCCATGTTGGCGGCGCCCGCTCCGGTGAGCTGCTTGGACCGCTTGGCCTCGGCCGCCCAATCCGTCCGGCCGATGACCAGCAGCATGCGCACCGTGCAGGTGGCCTGCGCAGCGAGCAGACCGAACCAGAGGCCCCTGAAGTCCAAGTGGAACCAGAATGCCATGACGAGCGCCACGGGCGTCCCGACGAGGTAGAAGGAGCGGAGGTTGATGCTCGCGGCGTCCTTGGGCCGCGCGCTGCCGCGCAGCACCCCGCACCCCGTCGTCTGCGGGCAGTTGCCGAGCTCGCACAAGCCCAGGATGGGCAGCACGGACGCGGTGAGCGCGACGATGGCCGGGTCGGCCGTGAACATGCTCGCCCACACGTTGCGCACGAGGAACGCGAACGCGGAGGCGAAGGCGCCGAACCCGAAGCCGAGCACGAGCCCCACCGTGGCTGCGCGGCTCGCCTCCTCGGGCTGCCCCGCGCCTAGCTCGTTGCTCACGCGGGTGGACACGCCGAAGCTGAGCGACGAAGGGAAGATGTATATGAGCGACGTGGTCTGGATCAGTATGCCCATGGACGCCACCGTCGCCTGCGGGTTCAGCAGCAGGCCGCACAGCAGGATCATGATCTCGTACCACCACCACTCGAGGCAGACGCTCACGCAGCTCGGCAGCGCGAGGCTGATGAGCTCGCCCCAGCCACGGAAGCTCTCGGCGGACAGAAGGAAACCGCCGGTGCGCTTGTGGACGCCTTTCAAGAAGATGTAGGCGAGGAGGAAGAGCACGAGGTTCAAGTTGGCCAGCACGGACGCCAATGCGACCGCCTTTACGCCGAGGCCGAGGACGACTACGAGAACGTAGTTGATGGGGAGGTGGATGGCAATGGCCAGGCCGGCGCACACGGTGAGGGGCAGGTTGATGGATTGCGTCCTGAGGTATATCCTCACCGGGTGGAGGAATGCCTGGAGCACGAGGTCAGGGAGAGACGCGAAAATGTAGGTCTCGGCGACCGCCGCGATGGCGGCGTCCTGGCCACAGAAGAGGAGGAGAGGCCGCATCTGCACCCACAGGCCACCTATGGGGATGGCGGCCGCGATGAGGAGGAGCACCGTCCGCTGCATGGTGACGCCCAGGAGCGCGTAATTGCCCGCGCCGAAGGCCTGACCGCATATCGGCTCCATGCCCATGGCGAGGCCGGAGAGGACAGAGTAGCCGGTAATATTGGCGAATCCGATGGCGAGGGACCCGCCGGCGAGGGCCAGCCCGCCGAGGTGACCAAGGAATAGCATCGAGATCATCGACCGGAGATAGAGCAGCAAACCCGTCAGTATCATCGGGAATGCGAGGCCAAGAATGGACCGCGCCTCGCCCCGTGCCGAGCAGGTGAACATGGACGGCGTCACCGGGAACGCGACGCCCAAAGAAACGGACCAGGCTTCGTTCACCGCCTTGGCGAGCCGACCCGGCGGCTTGCTCGTCAGCACCGGCGCCGGCTGCTGCTCCTCCGCCTCATCGCCGGCCACCAAGATGACGACCTCCGCCCCCTTGGAGGACAGCAAGGGGGCGAAGAAGGCGCAGCCCGTCTGGTCATCCGCGCAGGTCGTCATAGCTGAAACAGAAGAACACTCTGGTCTTCTCCCGCCCGCCGGCGCGCGTGTGCGTGCCTGCGTACGTGCGTGGGGTTTCGCTCGAAGCTTTTACGGCGCTGTGTGGAGGTAACTCCCACGCAGACAGGCAATTAACCGAGAGAGAGAGAGAAGCGTTAGCTTTCTCTCCTGTCTCCCCTTTGGAGGCTGAGGCCTGAGGCCGTGTGAGGTTGGTGGAGCTGTGTGCTCTGAGCCGCGCGAGGGGATGGGAAGCCTGAGCCTCTCTTTATATAGGCGAGGAGTGCTCTGCTCCCGGCCTTTTTTCCTCTCATAGCGCGCATAGGCGCAGCACTTTGCTTTTGACACTTCTTGAATTGGTTTCTTGTCCTTGCTGCTGTATCTATCTGCCAGAGCCGCCCATGCGTATTATCTCCATTTCCTTTTCGCTAATTCGTGTACCTGCGCGTTCAACAACAGCTCTTATTTAGATTTACTATATAAAACATACACGATGTACTTATACCTTTAATATTGTTTTGTTTTATTCTTTTCGAAGGACATATTTTAGTTTATCCAAGACAAACATGTTGGCACAAGTACCTTTTGGCTTCAGAGCACCCGCAATGGTAAAGTAAGTTGCTATCTATAAAACATTTACATCTCAGTAATAGACTAGATTAATAGTAAACCACTTCAATGGTATGTCTACATGGGTATCTATAGCTCTCTAATCCATTGCCTCGTTTTTCTCTATAGACTTTCTCCAGGTTAGTAGATAGCTTTGCTCTCTCTCTTCATTTAATCTCTTCCAAGTAGGAAAATATGTTGACATGGATCTATTGTAAAGAGCCTATAGATAACTATTGTGGGTGCACTCAGTTACATACCTTCTCCTTTATAGCTACAGTAAGTGGCATTGATTATCTTATTTAGTACCACTGGTCAGAGTTAGTAGTAAATCTTATTGCTAAGGTATTGATTTCAGTTTTACGAGAACTCGTCCAGATTCTGTACTGATAAAACATTTTTCTGAAGTCTATGACAAAATTCCAAATCAAGATATGCCATGAGGGAAAAAAAAACAGGAATCACATGGTCGTACAGATATGTTTTTTTCTTTCGTTTCTTATTAAGCTATGCATGATAATGCCGCCCTGCGTGATATTTTTTTCGCTATGGCCGGCAATAGTAGTGCCTGCGCGAGATTTCGTTAGCCCATTTTATTTGTGTTTGACTCTCATTCTTTACGCTTAAATTTTAAAAACTTGTCAGGGAAATAGGTATATTCTATGGTTCTGATTTTCTTCTCCGATTTGAACATTGAGCTCTAGGACACCTTAAATAGAGGAATTGATTTTAATCTCTCAAGGATATCCCTTTTTTCAATCAAATTCAACATAAATGATCACAAAATGTTTTAGGGAAAAATCCAGTGACATTTATCACTGCACCAAAAATCTAAATCTATTACTTCCTCCGTTTTATATTATAAGACTTTCTAGCATTACTCACATTCATATAGATGTTAATTAATCTAGACACATATCCAGTATGTGTCTAGATTAATTAACATCTATATGAATATGGACAATACTAGAAAGTCTTATAATATGAAACACAGTAAGTTAAAACTTGATCCACACTTTGAGAAATAATTAAAACAAAGACAAATCCAATGTATAATTAAAAAATTGACAAATCCCTATGTGAATATATGAGTTGAGTTTAGATAAGATTTTGTGAAATTGTATATGAATGTTGTATAAATCTTGTCATTTTTTAACTATTTGAATAGTGTATGAACAAACGAGATGATATTCTCTCGAGATGTTAATCTTATATTATTCCCCCTTCAAAGTTCAATCGCCTATCCCACATAGTACTTCTGGACCCTCTGGTCAACTCACACTCAAGTTTCTTTTATGCGTTGACAACGTATATATATATACAAACAAATGAAGTCTACCCTCCATACTGTTTGTATAACAAATGTGTCTAACAAGCTACTACTTCCGTTCAAAATATAGTTATTTCTAAAACAGTATCTTGTCCCAAAATAAAGCTATTTCTTCACCTACTTCATCCTCTCAACTAATCACAACCATTCTTTTTTACGCACTTTCTCTGTTCAGCCAACCACATACTTTCTCCAATCATTCTCATATACTTTATTAATATCCGTGTCAATCTTAAAAATGTCTATATTTTTTGACGGAAGAAGTACTGTGCAAAGTCAACTGGTTTTATTAGCAGCGTTCCTTATCTCATTGCTTCACAGCTATTTAATAAACATGATAAAAAATAATTTGATAAATTAGCAATGTCAATGTCTTCGCTTCCTGCATACTCTCATCCTTAGGCTGTGTTTGATAGTTGGGGTTGGGAACCCAACTCCACCGCACGGAAAACGGAGCGGTCCATTAGCGTGTGATTAATTAAGTATTAGTTAATTTTTTTTTCAAAAATAGATTAATTTGTTTTTTTAAAGCAACTTTCGTATAGAAACTTTTTGCAAAAAAACACACCATTTAGCAGTTTGAAAAGCGTGCACGTGGAAAACGAGGAAAAGGGGTTGGGAAACTTGCGGAAAGAACGCAGCCTTAATTTGTTTGCCATGTCATCTGTACTTTTGTGAACATAGAAAACAACCTTTTGCGAAATCAAAATGATGAATTTGCTGACTCGACAGATAAATACAAGGTTTTGCTTAAACCTGTTTATACTAGAAAAAAATATCCGTACGTTGTAACGGGTGGAGTCTATTTTAATTTTATTATTGTTATATGGTTTAGTTAAGATGAAATTCACTGTGTGAGTTCGCTTAGATATATATATTTTTAAGAAAATCATGAGCTACAGTTAGGAATCCAATCATCTAAGTTAGCATGCGAGTTTTTTTAAACATATCCAAAAGTAAACGATCTTAAAAACCGACTCAAATATGGATATGTATTTTCAAAAGCAAACGAACTTAAAAACCGACTCATACACGGATGACGTACCAAAATACCGGCAAAAATATCTTTAATTTTTATAATAGTAAAGATAGAAGTAAGATCTGTCAAATAAAGAAATAGTGGACTTAATTGTACACTGCAAAACGATCTGTCAAACAATAATCCATATACTGGGGATTGAGTTTTGGTCGGCAAAGGCCATTAGTCATATTCGTTTTGCCCACTTTAAAAAGCTATTTTAGACACACCTAGCTAGTAGTAAAATTATAATAGTTCTTGGGATCTTTTCAAAATAAGCAAAGGTAAACTCTTCGAGCTAGGTTACTCTGCATCTGCCGCCCCAGCTAAATGCAGGACAATTAAAAACTGCCACACACTTGCGAAGTTGTGTGATCAAGTTGTGAGAAATCTCCAGAGAAGCATGTACGACTAGTACGCTTTAAAACCAGGTGTTTGGAAAACTGGGGACTCCCTCGCTGGTCACCAGATGCGTGGTTTCGCTTCTAGACTTACTCGATGAGGCAACGATCTAATCATTTCTGCTTCGATGCTCTCCAAATCAAGTAGCCTCACCCAACCTACTAGCTGCTTTTGGGGTCAGATACACACCATCAATAGTAATGGATCTGCGTATATGTGGATGCCTCACCCGGGGATATAGGTGCAAAGCGACACGCCATGTTCGGAGTGAGGAAATCTAGGCCTTTTTTCTTTGCAAGTTGGGTTTAGTAGCCAAGAACGCATGCAGTATGTGCGCCATGCATCGGCTAGCTAAGCCATAGGCGTACATGGAAAATGCACCTTGGCGAACAAGTGGTGGCATATATTTTATATAACCGATTGAGAAGCACCGAGTGTTTCTTTTCTCTATTTTGGGCGAGGGGTCCATGCATGATCAGTACCAGCGGCAACAAGCTAGAATGCAAGATTGCAAGTAACAGTATGTTTGTCTTGACCGGTGGTGACCAACGGGCATGGAGAGCATGGTGGCCTAGCCAACGGCCGAGATTGGTCCAGGCAGCCATGCATGCATTTGATTTTGGAGTGGTGCTACTGAAGTACTGCTGGAAGGCTGGACAAGTTTTGGCATTGTTGCCTGCCTCGGTGAGGCGGTGGTGGTTGCGTTTTTTCTTTTGTTGCATGCGTGTGCGTCGAGATGGACCATGCATGCCTATGCTGCCACGAGGCCTTGTTGTATTTGTAGCCAGCCAGCCAGCCCGCCCGGCCGGCGGGAAGCTGTTATTGGCCCACCGATTCGGCGTAAATAAAAACAAGTAACCTCCGCTTCCCACCGTTTTTGTCGCGAGACGCTGTACTTTTTCCTTGTTGCCTTGCTCCTGGCCCCCGTGGCCGAGGCAAATGTCCATGGAGAGCAACGCGGTCGAGGCCACGAGTTTGCTTTTCCGGAGCAAAACGACGCTAGTTAACCACTAATCAGCTCAGCGCCTTGTTGGTTTCTAGAAATAATCTCGTAGTAGCGCGAGAGGACGAAGGAGGGCGGGGGACGAAACCCGTGGTCGCTCGCGCGCGAAGCGGACGCAGGGGCGGTGTGTTATTTTCGCATATGTTTCGTCGACGCCCACGCGGCAGAGTAAAAGCTGTCTTTAGCCTGGTGCGACGGGGACGCAGAGGGGCGTCGTGTACCGCGCGCAAAAATAACGCCTCTTTTTTGGCGCGTATGCCGGCTGCGAGCCAGCCACCACTCGTTGTCGCCATGTAACGATCCGCGAAGATGTGGGCGTCGCTGGCTGGGCTGGATGGCTTTGATCAGATTTTGCCTTTCCGAGCTCGTCCCGGGCGTACGTGCCCAGATCTTTGTATTCAGCGCTGCGCGGCTGCGCCGTCCACATGGGGTACTTCACCGAGGAAATTCTGGTCGAGAGGGTGGGGTCCCACCTGTGGTACCTGATATGTGTTGGTACTTGGTACTAGTTTCGGCTAGCAAAATAATATGTAGTTTAAATTTTATATTTATATTGGAAAGCTGAAAACTACTGTTAGATAAAAAATAAACGCTTGAGTTTTACCCATGTCTTAAAGAGTAAAATTTTCACTCTCAGATTTAGCCAAGGCTAAAAATTTTACTAGAAATTTTACTAGCAGGATATATTTTAGAAGACTCCATCCTTTTGCCCTCGGCTTACAAGTCTATATCAGAAATTAATTTTTGAAACTTAAAATTAGAGTTGATTTTTTTTATTTTAGTTATATTCTAGTGGTTTAATTTTCAGTATTTACTATAAATCGCTAAGAAAGCAAATATAAAAGTTTACGTACAAATTTATTTATTTATTTGAAAATGTCTTTATCAACTTTAGAC